CCTGAAACTGTTCTTAACCTGAAGCACCACTTTAGCTAATGGGGCCTCCTGCTGCTGCTGCGCCGTCGGAGCACGATTTCTGTTCTCATCCTGAAGCAAAGTTCTTAACCTGAAGCACTATTTCTGGGTTAGTGGAGTCTGTAACCTGAAGCATCCATAACCTGAAGCGCATGTAACACGAGGTACCACTGTATAAAATCTTAATCCAAATTGACAAAAATAAGACACAAAATACAAACCAGATTAATTTCTTCTGCACTGAAATCCTCAGCAAGGAAAGCAGTTCTGGTCAAGACATCGCTGCGTTTCACTTCTGGGATCTGGTCCAGCTTGGTCCCTATGACAAGCAGCGGAATCTGGTTCTCAGCAAACTGCTCACGGTCATAGTCCCTACACAAGAAAAAGAGGACATGTGGGTCAGTAAACAATATTTTCCACTAGTCATTAAAGACACTAACCTTAACTGGGAGGGGAGCACTTGAAAAGTCTAGTGAAGCAGCAGCAGATGTAGAATGTTTTTTCATATGTGGTGGACTTGTAAAAGGGTAAAAGAGTATTGGGAAATACTCTTCCACACACATTTTGGAAAAGGGGAGAGAGACTCTCAACTTATCTCATCCCTCCATCACATCTGCCATGATTGTCAGGTCCTCTGCACACTCACCCATTGGTCACCAGCACTCCTGATGGAGCCACATCTCTGTTGAGAGCTTCCAAAGACCACCGATACAGGTTCTGGGAGGACTTCTTGTTGGTTAAGTCATGTACTAAAATTATGCCTAAAGAAGTACAAGGCCATTCATAAATACAATGACTTCTTCCAAACACCGTCTAAATTATGTTGAAAGACATTGCAGGGTGAGAAGACAAGGCAAGGTTGAAAGAACCGCACAACTCGCTTCACATACCCAAGGTAGTTTGGGTCTTTTGGCTTCCTGTACAGCACCCTATGCAATTTGCTTTTGAAATCAAAGGGAGTCTCCAATTTACTGCCCTTGATTATTCTCTTTTCTATTGTTCCAAGTCCTCTCCTACAGGAAAACTGGGGTTACATGCTTCCCTCACGTCATTCATTACGGACTACCTCTCAGAATTCCCTTCGATCAATGCAGGAATTTTGAAAGTCACTTTATTTAAGAGATGTTGCAACTTATGGAGATAAATCTTATACCACCCCTTTCCATCCCCAGCCAGATGGTTTCAATAGAACATTGCTACACATGTTGAGGACTCTAGTCCCTAAACATGAAAGACAATACATGTTAACTATTTAATATATCCTTATAAGTGTTCTTCTCCTTCAGAGTTGGTGTTGCACGTTTGGTTCTTTCCAACCATACAACTCCATGAAGACAAATTATAAAAGGACCAGAGCTCCAAAGGGCCTTGTGCCTTTAGACCCCCGTCTCTCAGTATGTGTGGCGTTGTTTGCACTGTGGCAGAGGGTTGCCACAGATTTAATCTGTTTGCAAGCTTGTGTCTAAAGGTAAAGGTAAAGGTACCCCTGCCCGTACGGGCCAGTCTTGACAGACTCTAGGGTTGTGCGCCCATCTCACTCAAGAGGCCGGGGGCCAGTGTCCGGAGACACTTCCGGGTCACGTGGCCAGCGGGACAAAGCTGCTCTGGCGAGCCAGCGCAGCACACGGAAAGGCCGTTTACCTTCCCACTGGAGTGGCACCTATTGATCTACTTGCACTTTGACGTGCTTTCGAACTGCTAGGTGGGCAGGAGCTGGGACCGAGCAACGGGAGTGCACCCCGCCGCGGGGATTCGAACCGCCGAACTTTCGATCGGCAAGCCCTAGGCACTGAGGCTTTTACCCACAGCGCCACCCACGTCCCTTGTGTCTACCGGGTTACAAACAGGCACCACGAACACCTTTGCACCCAGAAGATGATTTCAGAAAGCAATTTTAAGCAGATTTGCCAGAATGTACATGTATATGGTATCTACAAAAGTAAAACATTTTCTTATCTAAATTCAGCCGAGTAAGGAACCCTGCTTTGATATCAGAAACTCTCTGTTGTAGTACTTCTGGAAGAGGTTCTGCATGAATCGAGTTAACAGGTGTTCTCATAGAATGAAAGTAATAGGAACCAGATCTTAAAACCTGCATACATTACCGTTAACTGAGTTGTAGAACACAACACGTGTGCTTTTTACACTACTGGCACTGCCCACTGAACCACCAACATCCCATAATTCAATATAATAGGTCTTCTCTTCTGGGGTTCCTTCTTTGTAGTCATGAATCTGAAAATGGAAAACCAAGAGTGCCATGTATGTAGAACAAGGCAATACAGATTTCTACATGAAGGCATATGGTTTGCTTACAGTCAATCTATTGTTGTGCCTTTTGTAATGGTTTTGTCCATAAAAATAAATATAAGATTCGTTTTCGTATTATCCTAACAACTACTTTATATAGGGCCATTAGCATGCATAGCACTTTGCCGCTCCTCCAAGGGCTTCATGAACAAGGTGGGTTTGGAGAGGGGTTTAAGAGCATGAGAACTGACATGCTGGATCAAAATCCATCTAGTCTGACATTCAGCTTCCACTAGCAGCTAGCTACCAAAAGCTCAAGAACCAGGGGCATGACGATGACAGATGTCCTCTCTTTTGGCTCCAGCATTTGGCACTAAGATGCAAACTGACGCTTCACATGTAAGCTCCATTTAGTTTTCCTGTCAAATAGCTGTTGATAGGCACCCCCGTGACTTTTTCTAATCCTTAAAAAAATCATTTGAGGGGAAGGAGGCACTGGATCCATAGATCATGCGCTTGCTCCCATGGTTGCTTCTTCTAACGTTTCTAGAGGACACAAGAGAGGAACTACTATGGGATCAGTTGAAAAAGCTGCAAGTTATCAGTATATGGGTCCCTGTAAACCCCCCCCCCATTGAGAGGGTCCATGGCACCATTCTCCTAACAAAAACTACGACAGAGATCTCAAACTTTTCAAAAGTAGGGGGTCTATGGCTTGGCTGTTAAAAAACAGGGGACCCACAGTATTTAGCTAATTGGGAACCACTGTATTAGACAAAATATGTGAGGGAACACATCATGGAGGGAATAGCACAGAGGAGAACAAATTATTCCCCAACCGCTTCTTTGAATACAGCCAGGTCAGTCTGTCAAAGGCAAGTTGATCTGCTCAGGGCTGTTCAATCTCCGGCAACATCAAGCATGTGGTCTGCCAAAATTTGGTGATTTGATGTATCAACAGCTGCTGCAAGGCCACACCAGTTCAACTGGGTAACATTACCTCAGCCTTCTGTTTAACAAATTGCCTGGCTGGTATCCATAGGTGACCAGGAATTCCTTGCAAACATGTGACCAGGCTGGCAAAGAAGACACAACTCTTTCCATTCCTTCTCCACCAGTCAAATTAGCAGCTGGCAGCGATTAGGGGAACTTCCTTTCCTCTGTTGCCAACACAAAACCATGGTCTACTAGCTTTTCAGCAGTTTAGAAAAAAATTGGTGCTCCCGTCACTTTTGTGGGCTTATTTACAAATCTGCATTACTTTATCTACACCAGAGGCTGGATTGAAAACAGATCAACCTACTAATGTTTGCCTGCTTCAGAATTAAGATTTCTTGCTCCCTACTGCAATAGCCTATTGTTTTACAATTCCCTTTGCAACCTGATTAGATGTTTTTACTTTGCCAATAAGACTTCAGAATTTCCCTCATCTTTGAAGTGAAATACCACCAAACAATAGAAAGTTATAGTTCCACCTACTCGGACATCAACAGAGCAGCCTACAGTCCAAGACGGGTTTCCCAACATCTGATTGTGACATAAGAGGTGAACAAGCGAGGACTTCCCCACACCTGCAAAAAAGGCAACTGCAAACTAAGCCTTCATAGTAAGTGAAACATCACTGCCTTTCTTGTAAATTTTCTGTGTAGTTTAAATTAAGGAGGAACAAGTAGATTTTGAAACTTCTAGTAGGATAGCCCTTAGACCCATGTAACACCCATTAAAAAGGTAAAGGGACCCCTGACCATTAGGTCCAGTCGTGGCCGACTCTGGGGTTGCGACGCTCATCTCGCTTTATTGGCCGAGGGAGCCGGCGTACAGCTTCCGGGTCATGTGGCCAGCAGGACTAAGCCGCTTCTGGTGAACCAGAGCAGCGCATGGAAATGCCGTTTACCTTCCCGCCGGAACTGTACCTATTGATCTACTTGCACTTTGACGTGCTTTCGAACTGCTAGGTTGGCAGGAGCAGGGACTGAGCAACGGGAGCTCACCCCGTCGTGGGGATTCAAACCGCCGACCTTCTGATCGGCAAGCCCAAGAGGCTCTGGTTTAACCCACAGTGCCACCTGCGTCCCGGCACCCATTACATCTATATTATTATGAATTATTACTATTACAGTGGTACCTCGGGTTAAGTACTTAATTCGTTCCGGAGGTCCGTTCTTGACCTGAAACTGTTCTTAACCTGAAGCACCACTTTAGCTAATGGGGCCGCCGTGCTGCCAGAGCACGATTTCTGTTCTCATCCTGAAGCAAAGTTCTTAACCCGAGGTAATATTTCTGGGTTAGCGGAGTCTGTAACCTGAAGCGTCTGTAACCCGAGGTCCCACTGTATCTACACCCAGCGTGTTGGCAAGCCCCTTCCTCTTCCCCCCTTGCAGCCCGACGTCCCCTCTGCGGCTTTTCCTTCCCTCCCCTGCCCTCGCCTCCCGCTCACCTGAATCCCCCAAGACCAGCACCTTCACCCTCTCCAAAGCAGCCATCGCCCCTTCGCGGAGTGAGTGACGCGCCCGCCAGCCAATAGCAGCTCCCGCCTCCTCCCCGTCAGTTACGCTCTCCGAGCTAGGAAAGCCCGTCGCTTTCGTCTCTTTCTCCCGATTGGCTGGCGGCTGCGCCGCTCGCCCCACCCCACCCCAGCGTTCGCGCTCCTCATTGGCTCTCGGAGGCGGGCGAGGCGGGCCGCTCCGCGAGACTTGACTGTTGCCTTACCTATCGCCGGCGTCGCGCGGCAGTGACGCGGCTGCGGCGGCGACGGCCTCGCTCGCCCACTCGGTGCGGCCTGGAGGCGGCGGCGGCGGCGGCGGCGACAGCGAGACTGGCTTGTCCGGGGCTCCTCGCAGGTCAGTCGAAGCGGCCCTCGGGGTGGGGGGGGGAGGCCGAATCCCCGCAAGCCTTCCCCCCCCCGGCGCACGCTTATGACGTCCCACACACCGATTCTGCCCCCTCAGCCCCCGGGTTGCCCTTAGCAGCGGGAACATCCCTTGGTACCTTAGCCAGACGAGTGATGGGGAGGCCTGGGGAAAAAGCCGGGAAAATGGGGGGGGGAACCCAGGATTTTTCCGGGAAAAAACGGGGGGGGGGAATGGATTTCCACCCAATTTTTCCGGTTTTCCCCCAGGCCTTCCTATCAACCCCGGGCGGCTCTCAACAGAACACCAGAAACACGACAAAGCTTCAAACATCAAAAACTTCCCAAAACAGTTGCCAGTTTTTTTGTGAGGTTTTCTAGTTTCTCCACATGAAATTTAAAATCTCAAATGAAAGGTGGAGAAATAGTGGAGAGTATGCAGTAGAAGTAAATAAGAGAAATTGTCATCAGATTCCTGTATCTAATTTTGTGCCAGTTCAAGTAGAAACGGGGGGATTCCCCCACCCTGCAACTGATGAGCAAGCCCATAGAAAATAGAAAGCCCAAGTATAAACTTGTTGAACTTTATACTTTATTAGGCACTATATGAGGGGAACGGGGGAAAGATGAAGATTTATCGAAAGGAAATCAGAAGAAGATGGTTTGAAAGCCAGAGGAGTGTGGTATGATCAACAATCCCCTGGAAGTTTGGGAAAAGGGCAGAGAAGATGATGATTTGTCCAGGAGAAGATCCATGAATACCATAGTGAGAGCACTTCTAATGAAACTAGATTGAAGAGGATCAAAGAGAATTGAATAACAAGCAGGAAAGGCAGTGTAGCTAGAAGAGGTGGGTATGACCGGAAAAACTTGCTTCAGCTGGGTAATGAGGAGATGTAGCTTAGGGTAAAAAAAATAAAATAGATCAACTTTGTTCTCCAGTATGACGGCAGGAAATACCGAGAGACAGATGAGATTCATATTAAATGTTATTCATCTTTTTCTACAAGATTGAAAGATCTGGATGGGAGGAGTGGTTAAGGAAGGGTTGAGAAGTAGAAAACAGGACTCCAAACTAGAAATAAGTGATGGAGTAACATAGCCTTGACTATATGTAGATAACTCCATCTGCCCACAGAGCCAGTAAAACAAGATTAACTTGAATGATGTGTCTGGCAAAAGGTTGAATAGGCTGTTGCTTATTTAGATAATTGGGCATTGCTGGCACGACTTTGTACTAAAAGGCAATTTCAACTTAATTTGATCGCATAACCAAATTAAGGCTGCTTACCTAGGAGGAAGTCCCATTGAACTCAGTTGGGCTGAGAAGACGACGACAAAGTTGCATTGTATGCCTGCAGATATTTCTGCCTTTGCATCTTAAAATCAAAAATTTCTGCAGATAAGGCAAAATTGCACCTTCCTTTATCTTTGGTGGGTGGAATATTCTTGAACATCCAGCACAAAGAAGCATAATTCAAAAATACTGGCCCCATTAAAGGTAGTATAATTGTTTTTGAGATTCCATTTCTTGGTACGGATTTAAAACCCATCTGTGTTGACTGGTGGTGTGTATCTACCATTTTATGGTAAACCCAGTGCAATGACAGTGGCAATACTGTTGCTAACTGGTAAGGGGAACACATAGTTGTGGTAATCAAAATTATTGGGCCACGGAGCTCATTTTTATAATTTCCTTCTATTATGTTTGCAGACTTGATATGACAGACCCAGATGTTCTCACGGAAGTCCCAGCTGCTCTGAAGCGCCTTGCCAAGTATGTAGTACGCGGCTTCTATGGCACTGAACATTCTTTGGCCCTGGACATTCTAATTCGGAATCCATGTGTGAAAGAGGAGGACATGTTGGAATTGCTGAAGTTTGATCGGAAGCAGCTCCGAGCTGTTCTCAACACTCTGAAAGGGGACAAGTTCATCAAATGCAGGATGAGAGTGGAGACAGCCTCAGATGGCAAGACCACCCGGCACAACTTCTATTTCATCAATTACCGCCTGCTGGTCAATGTTGTGAAGTATAAACTAGACCACATGAGGAGGAGGATTGAGACAGATGAAAGAGATTCCACCAACCGAGCCTCCTTCAGATGCCCGATTTGCTTTAGCACCTTCACAGATTTAGAGGCAAACCAGTTGTTTGATCCCATGACAGGTAAAGTACAAGCATTCAGTTCATAAGCAACCCAACTGGGTTGGACAAATTCTGGGTGCCTTACCTGAGCAGTTACAGATAGGTAGCCGTGTTGGTCTGCCATAGTCAAAACAAAAAAAATTCCTTCCAGTAGCACCTTAAAGACCAACTAAGTTAGTTTTTGGTATGAGCTTTCGTGTGCATGCACACTTCTTCAGATACACACAGATGTATCTGAAGAAGTGTGCATGCACACGAAAGCTCATACCAAGAACTAGCTTAGTTGGTCTTTAAGGTGCTACTGGAAGGAATTTTTTTTGTTTTACCTGAGCAGGTTGAAGCTAATGTGGGAACAAACCACCTAACTTGGTTAGTCCATGTGATTGATCCAGGTTAACAGATACCGTATTTTTCGCTCTATAACACGCACCCAACCATAACACGCACGTAGTTTTTAGAGGAGGAAAACAAGAAAAAAATATTCTAAACGAAACAGTGGATGTATGATTTTTATGGTTCAAGCTGTGGCCACAGACATGTGATCTGATGGTGAATTTGGGGTGACCCAGTGCAAAAATCCTGAGGATCCATGTGGATCCGTGCTTTGTAACCACGTTTTAAGTGGGGAGGGAAGGAAAAGCACTCAAGGGACAAGGAGCAGCGTGGGTGTGTGGAGAAGGAGCTTTTCGGTGAGCTGAGCAAGGAGGAGGGAGGGAAAGAGCACTGTTGCTTTAAAGGTATACTTAAGGTATTTGCCCTGTGCCTGGGTTTTTTTCCATTTAACAGTTTGCAGCCTTTTCCTTCCGCTCCTTGTTTTGAGGCAGAATAGATTTGAGCAAGTGAGGAGGACTTGGATTGCAGGGGATTCGCCATTAGCTGTGTAAAAGCGCTCCTCCTTGCAGCCTGAATGATAAGCAGCCACCAGCAGCAATAGAATGGAGCACAAAAAAGAGATAGGGGCACTAGGACCCAGACAATGCTCAAATCTATCCTGCCTGAAAACAAGCTGCTCTGTCCCAGCGGATCAGCGGGGGATTTGCGAAGTTTTCCCCTCTCCCTCATCCCTCCCCAGCCTTTTTTTTTTTACTTCCTGGTTTTCACTGCGCTCATGGCTCAGAGCTCGAGGTTGGTTTTATTTTGCTGCTGGTTGCTTAAATTTTATCTTTCCTGCCGTCCCTCTGCAGCCTCATTGCTCTGTTTAGAGAGGGCGCAGACCTTTGCTAGCGTCTGTCCCTCCTCCCGTGTCCCCTTTGCTGCCATGGCTCTCCTTCCCTCCCTCCTCCCCGGCTCCAGGTCACTTTAAAGCAAGCAAAGCGAGAGCCTCATAGAGAGTGTAAGCGGCTCCCGCTTTGCTTGACTGACGGCAGCCATGGCTCCGATCCGTGCATTCGCTCCATAACACACACAGGCATTTTCCCTTACTTTCTAGGAGCAAAAAAGTGCGTGTTTTGGAGCGAACATTACGGTAATTACCCTGGTGGTGAGGATATGTGGCTCAGAAGCACGGAAGCATCTTACAGGCTTCATGTTGCCTATGTCCGGCTGAAGGAGATGAAAAAGGCTTCTGGAATTAAGTCTTAAATGTGTCATTCCAATATCATTCTGCTTTTTTCTTTTGGTATTCTGAGGGAAATGTTTTTAATAATAAATTATTCTACTTGAAATGCTACTTAGTTGTATCTCTCTTACTTCATAGCAGTTTCTCTTCTTAGGACTTTTTCGCTGCACCTTTTGTGAGACTGAAGTGGAGGAAGATGAATCGGCAATGCCCAAAAAGGATGCACGAACGCTTGTGGCACGGTTTAACGAACAGATAGAACCTATCTATGCACTCCTCCGTGAGACTGAGGATGTTAACCTAGCCTACGAATTACTTGAACCTGAGCCTATGGAGATTCTCGCGCTGAAACAGAGGTGGGCTTGGGGTACTGAACCTGCTGCACCTGGTACTGGTGTGTTGACATTCAAACATCATTTTGGTGTAGGATATGTTAGGACTGCTCATGAGGTTCAATCTTCCTTTGCACAACCTGTTGTGTGAAGAATCAGGATGCATTTAGTCTACAGCTAAGGGGAAAGGAGACAGACCGCTGAAGAAGTGGAACTCTGTAGTGTGGCACGTAAGGATTAGTTTCTTAGCAATATGTATTCCCAATCACTTTGTCTGCTATGACACTGGGATTGCTTAAGTTCCTACAGTGAGAACACAACAGTCAAATTCCTATGGGTAGCTAATTTTTTAAGCGAAGCCTTAAGTTAGGGTGGCTAACCTTTTTTTTTTTTTTAGCTTGAGAGCAGCATTTACCCTTCACCAACCCTCCAGGGGAAAGTATGGTCTCCTCACACCCACAATACGTTGAACATGACCCTCATCGTTCTCAGCAGATCAACTGATCAGCAGATTGCTTCCTCTCTGTTCATCAGTCTGGTGACTAAGGAGTGGACAATTCCCATTCCCATTGCGCTGCTAAACTCCGCCCACCCCAGTTCTGTCTACCTTATTTGTTTAGTTATTTCTGTTTCCACCACCCATGTTGGTGAGGCCTTGGGGAGTGAGAAGAAAATGCTGGGGGGTGGGTGGGTGTGCCTGGATCAGGCCCCTGAACTGAAGCTTAGTCACCCTGCCCTAAGTGTTTGAAACTAGACACCTCAGGAAAAAAGAACAACAAAAACATAACACTTGCTTTAACAATACAGCTGATATAAAGGTGTCCATAATCCAATAACTTGTTCCAAGAAGAGGTGCTAACCATTCGTCTTCTAATGTTATAATTTTTCTCAAGACGCTTATGCCCATTTGATTTATATATAATAACTGCAAATATATTATGGCCCAATTCTTAGTTAAAAGTTCAGAATCTTGTTGGAAGATGATACTGTCCACTTGTTACAGATTACATTGCTGATAAAGTAAATTAGGGCTTACCCCTACACATGACGCAATACTAGGTGATAGAAGCCTGAGGTGATAAAATGGATTGTACCAGGCCTAATGTCCCACCCATGCACATGTAACAAACCCCAAACTGCCTGAAGGTTTAAGAAACAAAACCCAAATACATCAGAAGAGAGGTAGTAGCCCAGACTGCTCCTTGGCTGTACCAATTTATACTCGGAGGTAAATTAGTTTAACGTATAGGAACTTGCAGGAATCCTTCACCTATAGTCTGAAGTGATACTGGCTGTTATATCACGTCAGAACTCTTCCACCTCTCTGTGCTGTGTGTGTTAGAACATACTTTTATTTAGACAATATATGCCTACCCCTAATGGTTCCATTATCTGTCTTTATATGGTGGCGCTCCTCTTCATAATCCCACATTAATAAACATATAGTGATACTTATATCCCCCAGTTGAAATTTCCAGAAGTTCCTGAGATAATGACACTGCTGCGAAATCTGCATGGTTTATGGGATCATTCTATTTATTTGATTACATTGATTAATCCCCCACAAAGCAATGCTCTGAGAGCCACAAATCTAGTAAAACACCAAAATCACAGTGCAGAACTCTTATGAAACAAACAATCCACATCAGAGCAGAAGCTAAAAAAAATTTCAACCGTAATCACACCTTCTAATAACAGCCACAATTTTTTCCTCATAGATCGAAAATGTAGAAAATGTAGAACACTACGTGTGATTTAACAGTTCAATTCATTTAAACGAGTGAAAATACCTGTGTTAGCAAAGTGTTGTGTTTTATGGACTGGGATGCGGATGGCACTGTGGTCTAAACCACTGAGCCTCTTGGGCTTGCCGATCAGAAGCTCAGCAGTTCGAATCCCCACGAAGGGGCGTCCCAGCTCCTGCCAACCTAGCAGTTCAAAAGCACACCTGTGCAAGTAGATAAATAGGTACCACTGTGGCGGGAAGGTAAACGGTGTTTCTGTGCACTCTGGCTTCTGTCACGGTGTCCCGTTGGGCCAGAAGCAGTTTAATCATGCTGGCTACATGACCTGGAAAGCTGTCTGTGGACAAACACTGACTCCCTCGGCCTGAAAGCGAGATGAGCACCGCAACCCCATAGTTGCCTTTGACTGGACATAACTGTCCAGGGGTCGTTTACCTTTTTTTACCTGTGTTTTATTATTGTCTACAGCAAGGAGCGGGCTGCCAGTGCTTTGGCAAACAGCAGTCTATCAAGTGGGCAGCACAGGGAAGCCTGGTCTACCAAGGGACCCTCTTATGAGGACTTGTATACCCAGAATGTCATCATCAGCCTGGAGGACCAAGAGGATCTGCACCAGCCAGCTAATGAAGGGAAGCCACCTAGAGAGAGACCGGTTTGGCTGCGTGAGAGCACAGTGCAAGGGGCTTATGATCCTGATGAAGTGAAAGAAGGTAAGAAAGCTAAAAGGCAGTGATTCATGAACAGGTAACCTCAGTACTTGATTACTGCAACTACTAGAAGCCGTGCCTTCAATGATGTGGGCCCTGTGGAGCTCCCTCTCAGTTGAGATTAGATAAGCAAACTCCTTACCGAACTGCAGGCACATAACAAAGACTTCCTTATTTCAGCAGGCATTTTAATGTACATGTAGAAATTCTGAGTATTAAGCAATATATAAATATCTGAAATTTAAACAGATCTGGGAGAAATAAAGAAGTGAAAGTGCGTAATTCCGAATGGGGAAGTGTGTGCTCTACATATTTGTGCACATGCGGACACACTGTCTTAGTGCTTACTCTTGGTAAAGTAGCTGCCTTCTCAGACATGTGTAAAAAGTGTGATTAGTTTACGCTCCTTAGAACATTTACACCAGGCATAGGCAAACTCGGCCCTCCAGATGTTTCGAGCTACAACTCCCATCACCCCTGACCACTGGTCCTGTTAGCTAGGGATGATGGGAGTTGTAGTCCCAAAACATTTGGAGGGCCGAGTTTGCCTATGCCGGATTTACACTGTTTGTTTTCTAACACTGAAGTCTCAGTGACAGATGCTCTGCTCCATGTTGATTTTTAGAACTAAAGATTTTCAGAAGGTTGAGTTAACAATGTCTTGTGGGACATCTGTAGGACTTAAAATTGACATGATGCTTTCAGAAAGCTTGGAAGGAATTTATGCACATTATCTTACTGTAATTCTCACTATAGCCATTTAAAGTAGCCTGGTACTATTATCCCTATATTTCCCAATGGGATGTGGGGTCAGACTGAGCAACTGGGTTGCATAAGGCTGACAGATTCATGATCAAGGTGAGATTCAAGGCATGATTTTCCTGATTTATAATGCAATCTCTTAGCTGCATTATTCCAGCTTACCTTAGAAACCAAAATGTTGGTTGTGGCATTGCACTTCTTAGTGTAACCACACCTTTGTGGGGTTTAATCCATCCCCAGTTTCACAGGTTTACCACATTTCCTAACTGGGAATGGAAAGAGGACTGAAGATACCTCTTCCCTGCTATGTTGTTTTTTCTATGTACAGAGAAATTTCTCATAGAAAAACATTCAGATATTCATCTTCCCACCCCCACCTTTGAAATTATATAGTGCAAGAAAAGGTACACCACTTTGCTCAGTTTATAGCAGGGGTCAGTAAGGCTTACTGGGCATGGGCCAGATCACTTCTGCAGAGATCCTCTGTGGGCCAGACTGGCACAGAGTGATGCCGGAAATCGCGTCTGCGCATGCCCAGACGCCGAAAATCACACCTGAGCCTCTTGGGCTTGCTGATCAAAAGGTCAGCGGTTCAAATCCCCGCAACAGGGTGAGCTCCCGTTGCTCTGTCCCAGCTCCTGCCAACCTAGCAGTTTGAATGCTTGCCAGTGCAAGTAGATAAATAGGTACCGTTGTGGCGGGAAGGTAAACTGTGTTTCTGTTTGCTCTGGTTTCCGTCACGGTGTCCTGTTGCACCAGAAGTGGATTAGTCATGCTGGCCACGACCCAGAAAGCTGTCTGTGGACCAACGCTGGCTCCCTTGGCCTGAAAGAGAGATGAGCACCGCAACCCCATAGTCGCCTTTGACTGGAATTAATCGTCCAGGAGTCCTTTACCTTTTACCTTTAGTATTGCAGCAGTAGCATGTAAAATTGCTTCCGTTGTTTTCTTGCAGGTGGTCAAGACACAGATATGTTACAGGAAGGGGAAGAGGGTCCGGCTGCCCTCGACAATAACGAGGAGGTGATGCAGGCTCTGCTCATCCACGAGAAGAAAACCCCCTCTGCCTCTGTAGCTGCCATGGGAGGTATCGCCCCACTATCTGCCACCAATGCCAGTGACTCTGAGAGCGAGACGAGCGAATCGGATGAGGACTCCCCTCCCCACGTCGCCCCGGCTGCAACAACACTCTATGGGCTGGCAGAGGAAGATGATGATGATGAGTTTGAGGTGGTGACGGAAGACCCCACTGTCATGGTGGCGGGACGCCCATTTTATTATAGTCAAGTAACCCAACGACCTGAGCTGGTGGCCCAAATGACTCTGGAGGAGAAAGACCAGTACATAGCGATGGGCCAGCGGATGTTTGAGGACATGTTTGATTAGCTCCCTTCTGCTTGTGCGCAGCATTTATAGATGATAGTCACCTGGAAATTCTGGAACAGAGCAAAATACTGAATTATATTCCCATACATTCTGAGTTAATTCAATTGTTCTTTAGATTTACACAGAAAATGCCACATGAGCAATCGGACGGATAAAGAGGCGGCCAGCCAAAGATTTAGTGTGAGAGCTTGCTGGGCAATCTGGATTCCCTTCCTCACATATTTGTGTGCAGAGCTACACTTTGAAAGTTTCCAGATCCGTTCATTTCCATGTACTTAATAATTGTTTGCTTTTGATCTGGGAAATAGGAATGCCCTTTTGGTTGCTTGTTTCTCTGTCCTGAAAGGGGGTTGTAGAAGGCATTGCATTGAGTTTCCTAGATTCTGAGTCAGTGATAGCATCTCCTCTGAAAACAGTATCTAAAGATGGTTGCTTCAGAACTGCATATGATCTACTTGTAACCACTTAATGCCCTGCATGCTTAATATATGGGTATTTTTTTATTTCTTACACCCAGACAAGCAGGATATATATTTTGTTCCCCATGTACCATTTTCTTATAGATCCTATCGTTTTTAAAATCGATCTATAGCTGCAGAGAATATAAGTACAATCATGTTAATTAATGGATAGTAAGCCACCACAGTGGTTGAAATAGCTTCTTGGAAAAGAGGCACACTGGAGACAGGTAGACATTTTGGTTATTGCTGACTCGGAAGAAGTTGTCACAGCCTCAAAGAGCATGGTGAATTTTACAGTCTTGTAAAACTTGTCATTTTTGAAATTTATTTTCCGGGTCAGTGATTTTATTTCTTTGCTAACATGGGCGGATTCCTGGATTTTCATGCCATCACTTCGCCTGCAGTGCTATAATTTGCAAATGAGTGGACTTGACTTCAAAATGTAAATTACCTTCAGTTCAGCCCCTACTTCCAGAAGTGCTCTTATACTTCCCATTCTAGGTCATAATCTAAAGATGGGCCAAAACTGTCAAAACATATTTTTCCCCATGCTGGATAGTCCATGTTGAATGAAAAACTCTCTTCTCCATTCTTCGACTCTGCCCAGAAAAGTGATTTTGCCTAAGTTGAGACTCGGGCTGGGGATATTTTAATTTGGCACAAACCCAAAAGGTGTTCTCGATTTTGAATGATTATGCAGAACTTTGTTGTGTGTCAGTATTTAGCACAGAACAGTCTATTTTATATATCCAGCAGTGCCTACACAAGCAAAGCCGATCTTGTAATGTTTTACGTTTTAAAAACATTTACAGCTTTTAAAAATCATTGTTTTTCTTATTTGGCATTATAGTAGAGCAGGGTGGTAAAAGGACTGTGTATTTTAAAACTTTAGCATCTGCCACACATGCTGTTTTAATTCGCTGAAATTGTACACGTTATCGGTCCCTTAAAATGTAAAGCCGTTGTATACTGACCCTCTATGTTTTGTTAGTCTGTGAAGTTTCTCTTAAGATTTTATCTTTGGAAATTTTGATAGGTAATAGACACACGATCTTTAAACTATGGTCTAAATTTTTATTCCCTCTTAAAATAAAAAGGCACAAACAACATCTTCCACTGGTTTTTCATTGATTAATGAACAAATTAGGGCAGCTTGCTTTTTTTTTTTTAAGCTTAATGGGATAATACTTGTTGAAGAGTTCTTGGGACTCTTGTAGGTGTTCCTACACAATGCCACAGTCTGTCTTTCGTATTCCTTTGCTAGATAAAACACCTTGTTTTGCCAGTATAAGACAAAGTCAGTCAATCATATCTAGGCTTTGGATTGTAATACCATGTTGCATGCAGACTTGCTAGGTAATTTGGCCTCGTTGCTGCTGGCTGGCTCATTTGAAGTGTAGTGGGGAAATCCACCCAGATGGGCGGGGTTGTATTTATTTATTTATTTATTTAATGGTGCCATGGCCTGGCAATTGGAAACAATAGCTTGTCTACCCCACCTCTACCCCAGGTGAGGAAGAAGAAGAAGAGTTTGGACTTGATACCCCGCCTTTCACTCCCCTTCAGGAGTCTCAAAGCGGCTGACATTCTCCTTTCCCTTCCTCCCCCACAACAAACACTCTGTGAGGTGAGTGGGGCTGAGAGACTTCAGAGAAGTGTGACTGGCCCAAGGTCACCCAGCAGCTGCAGGTGGAGGAGCGGAGACGCGAACCCGGTTCCCCAGATTACGAGACTACCGCTCTTAACCACTACCACCACACTGGCTGAGAGGATGACGACATGCAAAAGCCCAAGGGATCACCAAACCATGGTTTAGCATTGCAACTGCATTAAAACTCTTGCATTACAGATCAGATCTGAAGCATAATTGTTGTATGAAGTAAGAAGTAGATTGTGAAGCTCTTTGAATGGTAAAACTATCTGCCTCAAGGATGTTTTAGACAAGGAATGTCTTCGGTATGTGGATCCATGAAGAAACAAATATTATTTCCAACTGCCTTTATTCCTCCACATTTCCAATGCTCTCTTAGATTGGACTATATGACAGTACTATGGAATTCCATCCAAGAAGAGTTTTCAGAATGGTCCTGCCTGCCTTAGGGAAGTAGTTAGTTGCAGTTATTTTAACCTGCATGTCCAATAGGATTTACCCTCAAGTTTGTGTGCATGGGTCATAACTGAGAGATAATTTATTGGGGTTCACTCCCAACATATAGTGCACATAGAATTGCAGACTAATACTGCAGATAAGTAAAGCATGTTGTTACAGACTGATTGCATTTATGAGTCTTGACATTCTAATTTTAACTAATTTCTTTTGGGCATCTGGTGTCCCAAAGGCCCAGGCAGGGTAAGTTATAATCTAAAAATGAATAATTAAAATGTTTCCAGCAGTCAGACTTCCTTGAATATGTCTGAGCTGAGTTTCAAGGAGACTAAGAGAAAAAGATGCTTCGCTGGTTCTCGGAAATCTAGTTCTATAACACAGGAAGCTATTTTGTCTGGAAATGTCAAGTTCTTATGCCCTGTTTTAAAAATCTCTTCTCAGGAACCAAGCCCCCACACACATATGTTTTGCTTTCTGAAATATGATTCATGCTGCTCTTGGATAGGCTTCATCGTGTTGCCTTCATGCGGTGACAGCAATCTGTGCACTGCTACCAAGTTTGCTGTAGCATTCGTACAATAGGCTATTGTTGGGTGGAGTGGCAGGGAGGTAACGCTCAGGATTGTGGCAATATATAACAGATGCTGACATGCAGGTGCTGCTGTATTCAATGTTCTCTTTGCCGCCCCCTCCTCACTACTTGAGTAAGGTAATGGAGTATAATACCAGCGCAAACTCCTCATCGTTAACCTTAAAGCTCTCATCATCATCATTTTTTATTTGTATGCCGCCATTCTACAGTTAAAAAAACAATGCTCAAGGCAGCTTACAGCATAACAAGATTTACATAATTACAAAAGTCATAAACAATAAATAGGTAAAGGTAAAGGGACCCCTGACCATTAGGTCCAGTTGTGACCGACTCTGGGGTTGCGGCGCTCATCTCGCTTTATTGGCCAAGGGAGCCGGCGTACAGCTTCCAGGTCATGTGGCCAGCAGGACTAAGCCGCTTCTGGCGAACCAGAGCAGCGCACGGAAATGCCGTTTACCTTCCCGCCGGAGCGGTACCTATTTATCTACTTGCACTTCGATGTGCTTTCGAACTGCTAGGTGGGCAGGAGCAGGGACTGAGCAACGGGAGCTCACCCCGTCGTGGGGATTCAAACCGCCGACCTTCTGATCGGCAAGCCCTAGGCTCTGTGGTTTAACCCACAGCGCCACCCGCGTCCCTTTTAAACAATAAATAAACCACATCAAAGAAATACACAACCAAATGGGAAACAATTTCTGCATAAATCAAAATCTAAAACTAAGAATACAGCATTAATATCACAGTTTAAAATGACATAGGTAAAAAATGGCAGCAATTTAAACAAAAACAAAACGGAGCCCTCTCTGTGCAGCAGCAGCAACAGCAGTCCTTTATAGAGCCCATCAGGCCCCGCCCTGGCCAGGTGGTGAGTGGCAGGACTGGGGCCCTCAGGCGCTGAGCAGGGGAGTCCTCCTGGGTGGTCATACCCTTGGCTCATCCCTACTCGAGTGTAGGCCGAGTTCCTGACAGGCCCACCCTATCTTTCATAGGTTTTCCTGAACATTTATGCCCCACTTTTCCATCTGAAATGTTACTACAGTGATACCTTGGTTCTCGAACGTAATCCATTCTGGAAGTCTGTTCGTCTTCCGAAACTTTCGAAAACCAAGGCGCTGCTTCCGATTGGCTGCAGGAGCTTACTGAACTCAAGTGACAGCCGCGTTGGATGTTTGGCTTCCCAAAAACGTTTGCAAACCGGAACACTTACTTCCGGGTTTGTGGCGTTCGGGAGGCAATGTGTTCGTCAATTAAGCCCTTCCAAGAACCAAGGTTCCACTGTATTGCTATTTAATGCATTAGTTGCTTAGCGGAGGGCAGTCTGGGAGTTACAATCCAGTTGAGAAAAGACAACATTGTTAAAATAACCCAACCACCATCTAATTTAAACACCATCTAATTTTAACATTGATGTACGGAAGTGAGAGCTGGACCATAAAGAAGGCTGATCGCCGAAGAATTGATGCTTTTGAATTATGGTGCTGGAGGAGACTCTTGAGAGTCCCATGGACTGCAAGAAGATCCAACCTCTCCATTCTGAAGGAAATCAGCCCTGAGTGCTCACTGGAAGGACAGATCCTGAAGCTGAGGCTCCAAGACTTTGGCCACCTCATGAGAAAAGAAGACTCCCTGGAAAAGACCCTGATGTTGGGAAAGATGGAGGGCGCAAGGAGAAGGGGACGACCGAGGACGAGATGGTGGGACAGTGTTCTCAAAGCTACAAACATGACTCTGACCAAACTGTGGGAGGCAGTGGAAGACAGGAGTGCCTGGCGTGCTCTGGTCCAGGGGGTCACGAAGAAGCGGACACAACTAAACGACTAAACAACAACAACAATTTTAGCATAAAATATTATCTTCCGCAAGGGAGGAGGGAAAGCTGTTCAGCAACCCAAAGCTGCACTAACCTAAAGCCTTGAATCAGCTGGACCAAATGCCATCAAATGCCCAGTTTTAATCTGGCACCTAAAATATGTCAGTGTCAGCAACAGACATGTGCCACTCATCATAATGAGCGTGGACATTGCCTTTTCCAACCTGGTACTTTCTGTGTTGATTGGGGATACCTGGAGTTCACTTCAAAATATCTAGAGGGCATTGGCGATGGCTGCCTTATCCTGACTCCTGGTGATCCATCTATAACCCAGTCACTGGCAGCATTTCTGCATCACCCCAGGTAAGTCTTTTCACAATCTGACACCTGAAGCTGGAGGCAAGAGCTTGCTGTCCTTTTAGCTAGAGTGACTAGGGACAGAATCTGATACAGTGGTACGTTGGTTTTCAAACTTCATCCGTTCCAGAAGTCCAAAGCATTCCAAAACCAAGGCGCGCTTTCCCATAGAAAGTAATGCAAAACGGATTAATCTGTTCCAGACTTTGAAAAACAACCCCTAAAACAGCAATTTAACATGAATTTTACTATCTAACAAGACCAGTGATCCATAAAATGAAAGCAATAAACAATGTACTGCAGTCACACAATCAGTAGCTGAACTGGGTTCCACACAGTCAAAAAACAAAACAAAAAAGCCACAAAAACACAAATAGCAAAAACAGACAGACCTCAGCGTAACGCTGAAAACAGAAGTGTGGCACTCAACACGGAAGCATAACACTAAAAACAGAGTGTGTTGGGCCTCCGAAAACGTTCACAAACCGGAACACTTCCGGGTTTGCAGTGTCTGGGTTCCAAGTTGTTTGAGTACCAAGGCGTTTGAGAGCCAAGGTACCCCTGTATTTTGCATGGTTTCATTTGAAGAATTAGGTATTCTTCAGAGCCCAAGAGGAAGGTGGAAATTTGTTTTGGCACTGAGTTCCAACTCACTTGGCAGCCCAGTAATCAAAGAGCTGCTTCTCCAGGAGAGTGGTTGGGGATCTTCTAGGCCATAGAATAGGTGGCATAAAAATTGCTTACTAAGTAACCTGAGCTAGGGAATCTTGAAGAGAGTTCTCAAATTTGTGTCGAAGCAACATAGATCACTCACGATGTTCAGTAAATTGCAATTTTTCAATAATCCCCTCTTTCTTTGTGGACTCAGTGGAATCAGGGGAGGGGGTTGAGGTGGATTTTCTTATCCGGTATGGACATGTAAAGGGACGCAGGTGGCGCTGTGGGTTAAACCACAGAGCCTAGGACTTGCCGATCAAAAGGTCGGCGGTTCGAATCCCCGCGACGGGGTGAGCTCCCGTTGCTCGATCCCAGCTCCTGCCAACCTAGCAGTTCGAAAGCACGTCAAAGTGCAAGTAGATCAATAGGTGCCACTCCAGCGGGAAGGTAAACGGCGTTTCCATGCGCTGTTCTGGTTCACCAGAAAGCGGCTTAGTCATGCTGGCCACATGACCTGGAAGCTGTACGCCGGCTCCCTTGGCCAATAAAGCAAGATGAGTGCCGCAACCCCAGAGTCGGCCACAACTG